AACATATAAAAATATGTACATATAACACATAAAAATGAGAAAATAGGAAAAATAGAAAAATCCCTCGCAAATCAGCGAGGGATCAGCGAGGGAAATGACAAAAATTCACATTCCCTCACTGATCTCTCGCTGATTTGCGAGGGATCAGCGAGAGATTCTGAATTTTTGTCATTTCCCTCGCTGATCCCTCGCTGATTTGCGAGGGATCAGCGAAGGATTTTGTAGAAGAAAATTCCCTCGCAAATTAGCGAGGGAAAGATTTTTTTGGTATTTCCCTCGCTAATCCCTCGCTGATCAGCGAGGTATCAGCGAGGGAAACTTTCCCTCGCAGATCAGCGAGGGAATGAGTTTTTTGGCATTTCCCTCGCAGATCAGCGAGGGAACAACGAGGGAATGAGAAAACAGAAATTTCCCTCGCTGATCCCTCGCTGATCTGCGAGGGAAATTTTCCCTCGCTGATATTCGTCGCTGATACTTGTTTTTCTAGTAGTGTATGTGTTATATTTATATATGTGTATTGGTTGCTAACCGCGATAATTAGATCTATGTTTATATTGTTGAAGATATATGTATGGGAAATACCTCACCGCGATAATTAGATCTATGTTTATATTGTTGAAGANCTATGTTTATATTGTTGAAGATATATGTATGGGAAATACCTCACCGCGATAATTAGATCTATGTTTATATTGTTGAAGATATATGTATGGGAAATCCCTCGCTAATCTGTCACTAAAAAGCCTCTGTTGCTAATCCGTCGCTGAAAGATTTTTGTCACTAAATATACCCCTCGTTGATCCATCACTGAAAGATTTTCGTCGCCCCTCGCTAATGGGTTGCTAAAAGATCTTCGTCGCTAATCGGTCATTGAAAAATTTCCGTCGCAAAAAATACCCGTCAATGATCCGTCGTTAAAAGTCGTAGCTGATCCGTCACTGATAGCATTACCTATGAGCTTTTGACCGACAGACTATCAACGATGAATCAGCGACGGAATAATCCTTTAGTGACGGCTGATAATCCTATTTTTTAGTGACTTTACATATATTACACATTTTATGAATTAAGAGGAGGATATTTCAATATTGTATCATGTAGTCTATTGTATTGATCACTTTATTTAGAATTAAGGTTTTTTTTTAAATAAATAACTCACTAAAATGTTCTATTTTTACAAAATTACGTACATTTTTCATAATATGACATATAATTGTTTCATATTCAAAATATTATTTATAATGGTGAATTCATGAATTTATTTGATCGGGTGCATCCTTAATGTCGATCAAAGTTATGTAAAATCACGGATTAACACGTCAATGCTGTTTGACCTATGGAGAAAGTCAATGCGGTATTGACCTAAGGAAAAGTCAATTTATCGATTTTATTCAACTACGGAATTCCTTGCGTCCCTCTCCTCTATTCCCTTAAATATAAGTTTTCTTGAAAAATGAGGTAAAAAATGACGATCTTTAAGATGAATTGATAATGAGAAGAAAAAAACAAATCATGAAAAGTAGTAATGAAATCAAAAAGGGAGAAAATCTGATAAAAATGTTGTCTTGGCATAATTGTAGTTTGATCTTTCTAACTATAATTTGTTGATATTTTTAAAAATAATATTGTAGGGTCTGCATCTGGAGTTTAAAATAAAAAAAATAAAAAATAAAAAATAAAATTTTCACTTGAAATAAAAGTCGAATGTGTGACCTCTTGCATGTAAAGCGGTAATTCATTCATCACACCTATGTTATAGATTTTGGTTTTAAAGTATATAAAGACATCCCTTTAAATCAATTAAGTGAGTGCATCTTTCAGACACCTAAATCCTTTTTTCTAATAATAATCGAGTAAGCGGGTGTACTGAATTATCCAAAATAAAATCATTTATCATTATTTTTGTTTTTGTTATTGTAAATGAGAAGGAAATTAGAAATGATAATTGAGAGAAATATAAGTAGTACATAATTCATTTAAAAATATTTATTTCTAAATTATTGATGTATAAAAAAATATATTATTTTTAGTCTTTTTTGGCGTGTTTTATTTTTCAACGTAAAATGACGTCTCCATGTTTCACGGGTTTAACAGCCTCAAAATTTGACAACGATGTGTATTTAAGCATTTCCAACGTCATTGCTTTTCTATGGGTAAAAGACTCGATTATTTCTTGAATTTTTATTTTTTTTATTATGTCATTTTAATATTATATATATATTATGACTTGAGATCATATGAGACCAAGTGTTTTTCGTAAAACCCGTAAGACCAATTATCAATCTTTGGATTAGATCTATAATCGTCAAATCTAAACATTCATAAATGCCACGAGACTCCTCAATAATTACAAAATTGCTACCGTGCAATTCAGACAATTAGATCATTAACTTATAAAGTTGATCAATGAACATAAATTGATCTTACGGGTCTCACGAAAAACTTTTGGTCTCATATGAACCCAACCCTATATTATATATATATATATATATATATATATTAAATGAATGTAATATTTAATGTGTAATATAATGCCAATTTCAAAAATAATAATCAGAAAAATTTGCATAAAATTTATGTAAAAGAAATTTAGAAGGGGTTTTCTATCCCCACCCCTCTTATTCATTTGACCCTAAATTTTTTATACCCCACTTACTTAAAACATTAAAATACATTATAATAATTTTATATTATTTTTCAATTTTAACTTTTGATATTTTTA